TAGGCAAAAATCCAACTTGCAATTCATATTAGATATTCTGGTACCTGATAAAAGTCTAATCGGAAAATTCCCGAAGCATAGTCGTGATAGAAGAAATGAGAGGCCCGTTTAATATAGTTCATTACGCAATTATGTTGCGATATGTTGTCATTCGCCATACAGCGAGCGTATTATGCATTTTACAAGATATAGAACACATCAGAAAACAAGGTCGTATAAATGAAGAAATCGGGACTGTATCTTATGGGTAATATGCAAAGGAAAAACCGCTCGTATACATTTGACAAACTTTTAAAAAAAAATGAAATCTCTTACGTTTAATCATTGCAATGTATGTTTGCTCGCGATTGGCTGCAATGGTTTTTTAATTATTACCAAAACTGTTATGGAACTTTTCCAACTTTTGACTTCCTCATCATTAAATTTGTTTTGCTGCTTAGGCGATAAATTATCAAGATCAAGAGTAGACGACAGAGTTAATTGATTTAAAGGATGACATGTAGATGTCGCCACTATTGACAAATGCATTTGATTTTTGGATAGCACCAAGCTTCAAACGGCAAGTGTGACAAATTATCATAACATTCTGATCATTAGTTTACTATTTATAGTTGATTTTAGTAACCCTGTTTATGTTTTTGTAAGACAACGGAAAAATCTCAATTACGCGCATAGCATCAACTAGAACTTGTAAACTAATTGATTGGTATGTCGCGAAATTTTAATTTTTATTTTTTAAATAAATAAATAAAAACGGTTACAAAAATTGTGGTTGGCTACGGCCGGCCATCAAACATCTAATACCACCTCGCTTAACACAGTTATTCAAATTTCAAAATGAGGCGTTTTACGAGACGTTCTCGAAGAGATGGTCCGATCTAAACTATCTTCAATAGCGTTTGTCCTTGGGCCAAAATAAGTCGATGTATCAAAGTTTACCATAATGCCTTAAAAATTGTGATCTGTAGCAGACGAATGGACAAACTTAGATCAATTTAGAAAGGTAAGGAGAATCGACCGATTAGTATAATAAAAGATGTGCCTGTCCCAGGCAATAATATATTTTAAAGCGCAAGCGGTGTAGGGTGTAACAATTTGAATTGTTGGACATACTTTTTATGATGTCACCGATGCATAATTCTTTAGAGAGCGTGTCGTGTATTTGCATACATGCACTTAACACAACTAATTCATAACCTGGCCGCAGGTTTTGTTAAAACACAAGCAATGCATACAAACACATTCTACGATATAATCTCCAAATTTTCAGAAAATTTAGACAAATTGTAAAATGGCGATGGATACATTGGCTATTCTTTATTCAGGACAACTTTGGTTGCACTTAGTAATGTTTTTCTTAAATTGTTTTGAAATCTAAAGGGCATTCTAAGTGAAATAGGAACGAATTTGATGGAATTGAATCCAAATAAATGTTGATGCGAAAAGAAGAGTTACTTAAATACAAACAAATAACTGTTTGCTATCAATATGTGCGTTTCTCACATACAGTCACCCCAAGTCAAACTCAGACATTGTAGTAAATAAATCTTATTGTCATACCTAGCGAAATAATGCAAAAATGTTTTTTATTCGCTTAGATATGTATTAAGCTATCAAAAATAGGAAACAAAATTTGAATTCGTTGTTTTTTAAATCAAATCCGACTAAAAAAAACTTCAACTAATCAAAAAATAACGCCCAAGCCAAACTAGTGCTAATGCTATTTGCTTCTCACTTATTGTGTCTTGAAAATTAGTATTTTATATGTAACCCCCCTTGTTCGTTCTAATTATTTTATGCCAGATTGGTATGCATTTGACTTATATTTTGCAATAGTCAGGCGATATTTTTTCCATTTTTGCCTCAAAATCTTTTTTAACTCTGCTCTGCTGGAAAATATGTGTTACTGATCCCTTTTGTTAAGATAATGTCACAAATGTTCTGCTCGGTTTAAAGGCAGGAATGAGAAAGCTGGCTTAAAATGGTTAAAAACAACAAGCGGTTACATGTAAAATAATAATTTGTAAGATATAATACCGATTTACTCCATTTTCAATGTTTCCGCCAAATACTGCACAGACGGACAGACGAACATGCTTAAAAGAATATATAAAATTTGTGGGCTCTCTGATGCTTCCTTCTGGAAGTTGCGAACGTTTTGACACAACGAATATATCCCTCATCCTTCGGTGATGGTTATAAAAACAATGAATTTTATTTCCTGTTTTTGACAACAAATATATAATCAAAAGTGAGGTAAGAAGCATTTTGGTATTATTTCACTTTCGCTAGATTTGACAATAAAATTTATTTACTACAATGTCCGTGTTTGGCTTCGAGTATGTTATCGGACATTACATATTTTCTTCATGGCCTTCAAAATGAGATCAGTTCATACGACGTTATTATTAGCAGAGAAGGAAGAAAAACTATAAAATCAAAAATGAAATGAAAACAAATATTTGAAAATGAATAAACATAATTGCAATTTAAACTTAATAATGGAGAAATGCATCGAAAGTTACCTTTTAATCCCGAAACGAGAACACGCCATGGATATTTGTGACTATATGAAGCTAAATTACCACGTATAATAATGTATGGCATTTGGCAAATTGTTATCAATTATAATTTATGCAAAGAATTTGAAAATACTGCTTATTATATACTTTTATTGTTAATTATTTAATATATAAATATTGATTTTTTGTTTTTTGATTTTCTCTTTTTTTTTTTTCTTTGTTAATTAGGCAAATTTGTGCTACTTTGTTGTTTTTCCAATTTATTTTTCTCCTTAGCTTTCAAGCGTTTTTCGTTGTTTTGCCGGGAAAAACCTTTATAACACTATTTCAAATACTTGCCAATATTGCTGTGGTTTTTAAATATTTTTTCTTAACATGATATATTTATGAATTTCATTTCATTTTCTCAGCTTCATATGTATGTATACACATATTTTGTATTTAGAATGAAAACATAGGTACACACATACCAGCTTACTGTCGCATAATCAGAACAAGTCACATTGGTGCCTCTATGTGGTGGTGTGTATAGATAGAATGGTGGCAAGTGAAGGTTGTCTGTCGTTTGTTCTTAAAAAACTTGTATTATTAATGGATATTTTGTTAGTTCACGTTCTTCAATTACTTTTATTTGTAACAGTGGTGTGTTTTGGTGGTAGTTTTTTAGTACGAGTGTATATTTGTTTGTGCGCATGTGGCAGCAACAGTTGTTGATTTCATGAATTAAACAAATAATAATACTAATTATTAACTCTTGTGTGTATATATATTTATACATATGCATGTATAGATCGCAACATGAAGTTTGTAAAACGGACTAATCTTTAATTCCCATTATACAAAAATTTATTATTTGAATTCACGTCCTTTCGCTTATATTTTAAGTTTTACTTTGCTTTCCATTCAAATATTTGAACAATTTCAACGGACCTGTAACAAAGAATAGTTCAATAGGATATATATTCAGCATGTCCTAACTCATTGAAACTTCGTCAATATGTTGTTTGGAATTTTTTTAAATCACCATTTGAGAATACTAGAGAAAAGTTATGGGGAGTCACATATACATCATGTGAGGAAAACAGTTTCTATACAATATCGAAAATGGTTAGCATGTCTGCTCTTTTGGAACCATTAAAAACATAGCGAATCCTGAATTGCGCTCCCCTCTTGAGAAGCTACCCAGAGTTGAAGTAGTTATTATGAGGAAGTGAGTAATATACGTTGCAGCGCTTGTTACGAACGAAAACAGCACGAAGAGAATCATACCTCTTTCTGGAAAGAAGTACTTTATAAAGATCTAAAATTACGACATCCAAATTTATATCGGATGCAACTTTGAGCATCCGCCAAGTTAAGCATTTATATAAAAAAATCACAAAGTTCATACCAACTATGAATACGTCTTTCAATCAGGACTCTTCTAGGTGTGGTAAAAAATGTTAAAATGGCGTTTTAGTTTCCGGTTTGCGTGAATGCCTAAAGGGTATTTATTTTGACTTGAATTTCCCTGGAGTGCATCGGCACTTGTACCAAATGTAAAAAAAAAATGCTTGTGCTACAATGTCGGATGAAGATAAGACTATATAATATAAATGTTAATAATGGCGTTTCTTGATGAGAGATGGCTACAGTATTAACAATAATCTACCACTATCTACCTGTGCAATATTTATCTTCGTAATTTTACTTAGTACATAAGAAAATTTTTGGTTGATGTTTAATCCCTTATCGAAGTGAACAAAATCGAAATGACCAGAGATATTTCTTGAATTAAATATATATAATAATATGTTCACACAAGAATGCTGCAAAATAAAGAGTCAATATCGATATATATTCGAATATTTTCTATTAATTGTAAGTAATTTCACCGTAAGAAAAACGGATGTCATAAAAACTCGCCACAATGAGAACTTTCAGTTGTTTTTGCTTTGTTGCATATCTACTCTAATTGATTAACTTAAAAAAAGAACAACAAATAATAAAACTATCTTATCGCATATGTAAGATTTATTTTGTAGTTCCGCATATATATTGTTAGTTAATTAGAGTATTATTAGAGCCCGCACATTTCATTTTTACTTACATTCTTTAAATAATTTTATTTATTTATTTATTAGCAAGGAATTCGGTTTTGTTAGTAAACTTAAAACTTTATTTTTTTAATTTCTTTCACATCGATTTTTATTGATTTTGTCGTGAAATATGTTTTTGTTTTTATACGAAAATTGCAAATTTTTTTAATAATCACTTTTACTAACTATATTGTCAAAATGCCGAAGAACTGCCAATATAAAAGTTTTAGTACACATTGTGATGATAATTAAGCAATCGATTTCATTTCAGGAATGGTAATACCGTATTTAAAAGCAATGTGATATCGTTGAATTTATCATCTTCATTTTATATAACTAGTAAAAGTAATGTGGTTATTTGGATCACTTTCTCGAAACTTGATTAATAGAAATGTTGTTTGTATGATAAAAGAAAAACGTGTTTTTGAAGAATTGTATTTCCCTATGCTAAATATATATATTTTTTTAATTTTTGCGGGAAATGTAACATTGGTTGTGAGAAGTTTGCGCTTTGTTTGAAAGTTCATAGTAAGTTTTGTTGCTGTCGTTTTTTTTAAATGCCGGTTTGCCGTCAAAATATGTATATAAATAAATAAAAATTATTACGCACAATCTTTGGTTCGGTGAACATGTGGAATAAAAATGTTTTTAAATTCAGTTCCTTTAAGTTAGAAAGCTGTTCAAATATTAATCTGGACAGAAATTCCTGTTAGAGGAGTAAAGAGGGTATTTTCTATATGAAATACTGAATCTAAATATATATTATGTCATTTAAGGTACACAGTTTTGTATGTTCGAAGAATAGCAGGCATATATTTGCATGTACGCCCTTAATACTTTTAGTTATATATAAATTATTGGGTGGTAACGTAATAATAAATAATTTAAAAAACAGGTTAATAAACTTTCGTAGCGCTAATTGCAAATTTTCTCTATTTTCTCTATTTGTTTTGTAAACTTACCGAAATTTTTTCCCATCCCGATGCAACAAACATTCAAATTCATTCAAAATTCACATCTTGTAAAGAATATGCCAGGCGCGCCTTTTATAAAATAAAATAAGTCGACGCATCTAATTTCTGTTACAAAAAATGAAGTTAATAGCTGTATAAAATTGCAATTAAAATTTTCTGCTTTTTCTGTCTTTTTGTTCAACGCAGTGAAACTTTAGTTTGAGCAGCTTTATTTATATTTAATAAAAGTTGTCTCTCTTTCAATCCGCCTAAGCTTATCGGGGGGAAGACCTATTTACAATCATATATTTTGTTACAAGTCAAATGTTTCGAAATACATATCTATTTTAGATATCATTAACGCAAATTATTAATTTGTATCTTTAATCAAACAAATAAAGCATATGCAATCTGTTTTTTTCGTATATAAAACATCTTCCTCCTTTCAGCCACTTGAAATGAGTGTAGAAATGAAGAACTTTTAATATTATTGAGGCATGCTTGGCGACGTCAAACTATATATAATGCATAAAACAGCTGTAAAGAATTACCATTAAAAAAAGAGAAAAAGCGGACTCGTAATGTACATATTAAAGTGTTGATATAATTATAAAATTAGGAAACAAATTGGAGCAAATAATTGGATTATAAAAATAAAACTCAAAAAAAAAAATAAAAATATAAAACAATGCCAACGAAATTTTCTTTGATCTTCTTGTGTACCGCCCTTCTTCTGATGGTAAATACAATGCCAACTTATGGTGCAGGTATCGCGCCGCATAAACATGAAAAATTAAACAGTAAAGAACGTATAAAAGATGGTGTCTATCAGCCAAGAGATGCAAATCATTTTGATAATGGGGAGCATAAAGTTGGCTTCGATCATGAAGCTATCATAGGTCAGTAATAACTTGTATATTTTAACTGCTATTCAAATTTCCTTTTTTTTTTTTTCTTTTTTTTGATTATTATAGGTAATGTTAAAGAAGCTCAAGAATTTGACACACTCTCACCGGAAGAGTCCAAACGTCGCTTAGCAGTGTTAATACGTTTAATGGATTTAAATAATGATCAATATATCGATCGCCATGAACTGAAAGCCTGGATATTAAGATCTTTTAAGTGAGTTAATTGTCAATGCAGTTGGTAAACATTGCATGTTTTCCATTGGAGTCGGTACTAATTGCATTCGTCGCACTTTTTATTTCGTTATGCACATGTATTTTAAGCAATTTTTATCTTTATTTACAATGAAGTGTTGTTTAGTTTATTTTCGTTCTACGACCATCAGTATCCGTCCGTCCATCTATTTGTTGCTACCATGCTCAGAGCCGTATAAATTCCAGTGATTAAGCTGATCGCGTTTCATCCCCTAAACCAATAAACTATATTGAAAGTGAATATAGCGACAAAAATTTCCACTTAGTCCACATATTAATTTAAAATTTTGCCCTCCCGATGTTTTTATACGATCTTATTATTTTTTAGCGTGTATACGTGCATTATTTATATTAGTTTTAAGCCATAAGCTTAACGTGCAAACGACGAGCACGTTTGTAAGTGTATTCAGTTCATTTCCCAAATTTCCTTGCACTGGAAGATAGATTGAGAACCGCTTCAGAATATTAACAAGCCAAAAAAATGCACATTTTATAGGGTCTCTGGTGTGTACAAACTTGGTTACTTGGTGTTATAAACTAAACGACAAACCGTTAACATATTCCTTAAAGAATGCAAAAATATTCTGTGGAAGCTAGCCACAGACGGTTACATTAATCAAGTTTTATAACCGATTGGAACACTTTGTTTTATTCGTGAGGTCTTCGTATCTGAATGACGAAATTTTTAGTTAAAATTGTGCATTGCATTGTTAAATCTTTTAAATTTTTATTTGTTTTCATGTGCAGAAAATTGGCTGAAGAAGAATCAGCTGATCGTTTTGAAGAAATAGATCAAGATAGTAACGGTCAGGTAACTTGGAAGGAGTATTTAGAAGATACCTATGCCATAGATGAGGAAGAGTATGAAAAAGAAGCTCTCAGTGCTGATGGTTACGATGGAGAGCAAGAATTAATTAGAGATGATAAAGAAATGTTTAACGCGGCCGATCTAAATAAAGATGATCAACTTAACATAGAAGAATATACGCTCTTTCACAATCCCGAAGAACATCCACACATGCTACCTATGGTTTTTGAACAAACCATGCGTCAAAAAGATACGAATGCGAATGGTAAAATTGACTTTCAAGAGTACGTAGGCGAGGAGGCCGAACAACGCGATAAAGAATGGTTAATTGCTGAAAAGGAACGCTTCGATAAGGACTACGATCTAAACAGGGACGGTGTACTGACTGGTAATGAAGTTTTATCCTGGGTTGTGCCCAATAACGAAATTGTAGCCACTGACGAAGTTGATCATTTGTTTGCGGCGACAGATGAAAATCATGATAATCGCTTATCATATCAGGAAATTTTGGACAATTACGAAACATTTGTGGGTAGTGAGGTTACCGATTATGGTGATCATTTACAAAATATACACCGTCTGACGGATGAGTTGTAGTGTGTTTTAAGTTTTTGTTTTCTGTAAAACGTTAATTTAAGTTATGATTATTATATTTGTTATAATCAATGTCATGATTTGTTCGTAGGTAGGTTTGTAGGTGAACTTTTAGTTTAATTGATTGATTATGGTTGAATTGGCTAACTGCTATCAGGGAAAAACCAACGGTAGAAAATAAAATAATTTTATTTGCATTCAAAATTACAAAGAAAACATACAATTTCTTATTTATGGAAGAAGAAAAATAAATGCTTCATCAATTTTCGAAGTCAATCGAAACATCGATGATCCATCTCTTCTTCTAAATATGTTAGGGGGCTTAAATATAAGCAGTAAGGAAGTATTTATATAATTCATCTCCGTACGCTTGCTTCATTAAGCTGTCCTTTAGAATTTATCACTAAATCTCGGTAAATTTTTTCCAAGTTTTTATTGGCAATGGAAGTTAAGTCAGCAATGAACGCAGTACAAAATAGGGTTGGAAGGCAAGGAGTATGCTTGGAAGGTTTGTTTTCATAGACGACTAGATAAACTATTATTTTAATTGTTCAGTGGAGTAGTTGTTATAACAGCACCGCTTGTGGTACAGAAATGTATTAAGTATGGGCGGATCTATGGAACACCTAGAACGACTTGAGATAGATTCATCTTTTATTATATCGTTTGTAAGTCTATCCATATGTGCGTCCTTTTTTCTTTTGTTCAAGTTCGCAATTTTTTAGATATTTTAAAGAGATTTGATACAACCGCGTGTTTGGGCCCAAGGACGAACGATCCCGAAATTCGTTCCTATCGGATCACCTTCCCGACCATTTCCCATATAAAGATATACAGATTCTGAAAAGTCGTTATATGAAATGTTGTGTCAAGCAATGTTATGTAGGGCATTTTATGTGGGTCGTGTCCCACTCTTGTGTTCTTGCTTGTTTAAATATGTTTTAAACTATTAAAAGTAAAATTATTTAATTTGTTGTAAAATTTATTTATTTATTCATTATGTTTGCTTGCAACAGTGTACAATTGATTTATAATACATTAACGTTTTTTAATGGAATCATAAGCAATATATTTTATTTTTTTGTAATATACTATACACATATATATCTATACATACATGAAGAGTTTGGATTGGTTTTTTTTTTATTTTAATTTTTTTCTTCAATACTTTGTTTACATAGGCGTTTTGCATCTATGCATATAACAGTATGTAGAAAATGACTAGAATCCACTCGGGTTCTTTAATTTACATTGTTTTTTAAATAAATGAAATATTACGAAAAATAACACCTTATACAACAATATTGCACTAGATCGGCCCTAACCACTTCAGAGGAAACAGAAATAATTTCTTTTTTTTTCTCATATTTTATAAGAGTTTTTAAAGGTTAGTGAACGTTTTGTTGTGTATGGCTTAATCTTGATATTAAAAGTATATATATATATATATATATATATATATATATATATATATATATA